TTCGCGGAGAAAAAGATGTTGGGCTTTGCATCTTCTACAGCTACATGGAAACAATTACTTCCTGGCAAATGCAAAGTTGTTGGCAGATCTTTTCCTCGCTGTGTGTGTGTGTGTGTGTCTGTGTGTGTGTGCTTGTGTGTGCTCTTTCCTATGTGTAGTTACACTTAAGCACAAAGAGTATAATTGCCACTGAAACGTCACCAGGTTTCATTTGACAAGTGTGCTGTGCATCAGCCAAGCAACATCTGGACGCAAACAGAGAAGTGACTGCCAAGCACATGCGTTACGGCTCAACCCTCTCTGCATGAGGATGCCTGCGAGGCTGAGAATTAGCTGAGAAAGTGGTGTAAATGTTGTGAAGTAGGAGCGTCTCTTTGTCTGCCACTCCACACTGATCCCCCCGCCCCTCAAAACTCAATAATCCAAATAAAAAAAAGTAGCTGCAGACATAATGTTGCATGATGTTTGAGGGAAGACAAGGGGTAGCTGGTCATAAAAGCTGCACAAATACAAATAAAAACTACACTAAAAATAAAGCTAAAGGTTATAGTCACCCCAAGGAAGCATAAAATCCTCATAAAATAAGGTTCTCTAATGCAAAAAGATGTAATAAATATCTCTTTCAGTGTTTTTACTGGACATATTAACTTCACAAGTGGCTGCTGTGACCACATCCATGCACAACTCCCTCTGCAGTGGTCCTTCTTCGTGCTCTCAGGGATTTAAGCATGCAAGTTAAGGTCAAAACTTGGAATTTATGATAATGATTTAATACAATTTAAGCAGTTTAAAAAAAGTTAAAATGGTGGAGGAAGAAATCATTGCAAAAACAGGAGATGAAAAATGTAAAACTGAACATTGTAAAGGTTACAAACCATTAAAATGAAAGATTCTCAGTAAATGGGTTTTAAGGATTAATGTGTTGAAAGGTCAAATTTAACAAGAGTGTCTAAGTAGACAGCCAAGGCATTTACTTTAATCCAAGGCTGATCATGTTAAAACTAATCAAGGACATTCTTTGGATCAGATTTCAGATCTTGGAAAATACTCGTACAATCTATTTTCTCTCAGGTTGAAATTCAAACAAGTGGTTTCCAGCTTCACAAACACCTGGCAGAGCAGAATATTCCTCTTGGTTTTTTTTTTTAGTATGCACCACACCGTCTGCAAACAAGCGATGAATACTGAACGCCGTCCTCAGATGAACTCTGACCCGGTTGCCTCTGAAATGTAGAGTGGAGGGCCTCTCTGTTCTGCATGTTTAATGAGAGCGGCTGACAAATTGAATTGTGCCTGAAAAGTGCCTACTGAAGCAGGAGACGGGTTGGTTAGACGAAGAAATTAGCTACCAGGGCCTGTTCTCTGTTGGCTTTAAATGAATCTGATTGGCTGTCAACAACAACGGTTAGCATTTCCTTTCCCTAAGTTATGTAAATTGCGAGCTCTTTTGCAGGATGACGGAAATACGCCTTATATTTTAAAGTGTTATGGCGTGTTTCTCAGTGATGTAGGGACTGTAGGAGGATAGGCAGGCTATCCTTTGGAATTATATTGTGCTAAAAGGCATTGCCAATGCATGTAGAAGAATTCCCTTAAGGAACAAAAAGAGATGATCAGGACATGGAGGTCTATGCTTGATAGGTGTGTAGCATGGTTAATTAGTCCAAGGAATTAGTATCCCTTAACATTCTTCAAACAAATGTTTTGTAGCTTAAAGATTTCACTTTTTTAACCATTTCTCATCCTTCAATGAAAACTTGAGCTGCATGTTTTCCTGGAGGTAAGACTGTGTACATCAAGGCATCAAACTGCCCTTTAAAAAAGCATCAACCTAAAGAAGTATCTCCACTGACTTGCTTGTGCACACACACATCTGTTGCTGGTTTTAGACTATTGAGGCTACTCTTTCACATGCAATCCCTCGCACTATCCAAAGGATAAGTAATAATTGATGAGACAACTGTAAAATGGTGATCAGTTGCTGAGTGTTATAGAAACCTTATGACAGCATGATAGACCAGGGGAGGGCTGTCCAGCTTGCAGATGTCTGGCTGAGTGACTGGCTGCAAAGTTTCATGGGCCGGATTTTCTCTCAGGGGAGCCGCAGCCGAGACTGACAGCTTTTAGGGCGAGCGGGGTGGAGGGAGAACAGGAAAGAGGTGATGCAGAGCATCAGAGGCCGGGCCATTTTTATGAGTTTTATTTTGGAAGGACACTCTATCTCTTGTAATGGTGATGCTGGTTGAATGAAAAAAAAATAGGCATGGAATGGGGCCAGTGCACGACAGGGAGGTAAAATGAAGAGTGCAGCGATGATGATGATGATGATTAGGCTTCCTGACTGCTTCAGGCAGCCTAGCTAATCAAACTTTGGATTTTATTGTCGGATCAGTTAAGTAAACTCAAATCTGGCTGCTGTCTGCTTTCGCCTTGTGCACCCATTCATATTTTCGTTTGCCTTTTCTTGGCTCAGAAAGTTGGCATGGACATGGACTGAGACATTAGTCTGTCTGAATTTCTTTTCATTTAAGACATCTTTAAACCCGCACCCCCAACTCTATGGATGAATGTAGAGTTTAATAATTTCATGATACATTCATAGTCCACAGATAGCTTTATACTAAAGGTTAGTTTAAGAACCCGACCTTATCTTAACAAAAAACTTCTTATACCAGATGTCTGCTAAAACATGGTCACTGTTCTTTAAAATACATTTGCATTGCTCTGTTTGAGCTGTTCTTACGGGTTGCAGACCCAGTTAAATCTAGTTCATATATAGAACTCCTCAAATGTTTACTTCAGTTATATCCTTAACCTAAAATATGCCAAAGTCGAAAGAGAACTCAGACATTTGAATACTATCACAGCACAGACATCTTGCTCCAAAATAAAAAACTCTTTGGATGACAAACTTCACATTAATAAGAAAGTGTATATCTAATGGGTATTTCCCTGTAAAATAAATAAATATTTTGTCATAATACAAGTTGGAGTGCTTACTGGGTACCTCAAAGAGTCACTTGTCAAGTCTCCGTATAAATGTTTGCCCACCATTAAGCAATTTACAGTTCAATAATGCCAACCCATTCTAGGACTCCCGAGGTGATAATAAGAGAAATAGAGTGGCTGTCATGTGGGATGGTTCTACAGGGATGAGATCATTATTATGTAATTGGCTCTGATATTGCAGTCTCTCTCAATGTGTGAAAGTGGGCATCACCCACACTGACTCCCTGTAGCCCCGCCAAACCGCAGCGTTTGGAGAACAGCCCTGAGATCCACCATATAGGCTTGGCTCAGACTGCAGGAGTTTTGTGCCAATTTACACCCAATTCACATCGTCTAACAAAGGGGGAGGGATCTGTTTTGTAATATGTAATGTAAGAAGTGCACGAACGTCACATTGCCTCATGTGAACCATTTCAATAATATCAAAATCATTATATATTGGGGATCAAAAAAATCAGAAGAATTTAGAGCCAGGCCACAACAACCAATGAGAAAGAAGCTGCCAGAACAATTGGCGGAGAAATCATCCTGTATTTGATTTCTCTCTATTTCCTAACAACAAGTTATAAACGTAGAGGTAAAAAATAAGACTATTGGTGGTATATTGGGAGTGAGCCAATATTGAATTACCAATAATCATTCATGTCAGAAAGAAATTTATGCAGAACTCAAAAGAAGGTGGTGGGGTTGGGGAAGTGGAGTCAGTTTTCAAAATGCGATAAAAATCAGCTGGCGCCTGCTGAGGAGGTTCCCGTGTACGTCCTGTCACCACCAAGGACAAAATCTCTCCACAGTCACGCCTTAAACAAGGATTTCCACTTTAATGCTCTTGAGTGTATCTTTATGTAAGAGGTAATCTTTGTTCTATACCATACAAAGTTCAGGCTACTTAACTTACACTCTTATTTTGCAGATCTGTTCTAATTAAAACTTGTCACATTGAACCAAGTGCCACCTCAAAGCCAAATGACATTCCTCATGAACACAATTCTGATACTTTAATTGTCTTCCTCGAGCTCGAGTAACAGATATTTGCTGCTCTCAAGCCCCTTCCTGCTCATATTCTCTGCGATTTTTCCCATGTTGTTGTTTTTTCATGCCATTAGCCTTCACCTTCAACTGCAACGTTTAGCCCCCAGTGGGACTGCATGCTTCTTGCGTCGCACCCTTTCCCTCTCTGGGCTTGTGATCTTCAGGCCGGTGAGAAACATGCAGAGGTGTTCCTTTTCCTTCCTGTTCCATGCACGAGTTGAAGTGGTGACCCAAGAGACTGGGATAGAGCTGACTGACAAACCTTTGCCAACCCCCCCCTATTCACTCACTATCGTTGGTTTATCCATTGGACTTCATCTGCTCCTTCTCTGGGTCTGCCATCTGCACGTCCCTCTGTACAGACACCCATTGTTAAAGAGTTAGGCCTCAGTGAGCAACTTCAACCAACCTAAAGTGCGCTGAAGCCAGTTTCAGCTCACAGGAGTGCGCTGAGGTGTAGGTGCTGGGTAACTCTAGATTTTTAATTACAGACTGAGCATAGCTGCGATAAGAGGGTCATGGCTTCCTGATAACCTGTTTGGTGAGTCAGTGGCTGTTTGTCACCCAGACGTAGGGTAAGCTGTGAGAACGGGACAAAACCTCATCTTTGTGTCAATACTGGTACGTATCTCTGATATTCCTGTAGACTCAAAGAGAGAGCCGCCATCTGTTTTCCCCTCTGACAGTTAAACCACACACCTGAGTCATTATGCAAAGTCTACCCCCAATACAGGTACAAATCCAGACACTGCAATGTGAACAGGGTTGTTTTACAGGAGACAGACTTTGGCAGGCACATCTCTTTATTTATTTTCTCCTTGTTTGTGGTAAGTGTATAATGGTCAATCAAAAAATACATAGAACAATGACTAAAGGTCATGAAACTTTTAAAAAGTCCAAAGATAAAAATTAAGTGTGTGTTTATTGACACCCCATTTTGTTTTTTTACAATTTTTCAGTCACCAGGGCAATAACCAGGTTTTAGGTCCGCCAGCTAACCTGTCATGAACTCACCAGTCTACTGCCAGGACGCAGCGAGCTTCATCAGTCAGGACAGCTCTGAGCTCTGCAGCAAATCTAATAAACCAGTAACAGTTTTCTTACTCCCACCAAGAATGGTAACCAAGCTGCTCAAATATTGGATCTCAGGAAATAGTGAAGGACAATTTCCCTTCGAGCGTAACATTAGAATGCACAGGCCTGGCTCCCGGAGGTTCGGGGCCACCACCGCTGGGTCACTCCAATTAAACGGAGCTTCCCTGCTGTGGCCCGAGCCAGCCTGAACACGGGAGCACCCGAGGGGAGCTGGAGGAAGAAGTAGAGGAAGGAGAGATGAGAGACACACACATCCCTGAGCAGTGTGTTATGCTTGGCACATATTTGGCCCAGCGGCTCTCCCTGTCTACACTTCTGGGTCCTGATTATGCTGCAAAGTGATCATTAGAAAGAAAAAAAAAAAGAGAAAAACATTCAAGGACAGCAAGAGTAAAGACAAAGCATCTGCTACTTCAGCAGACTTTTCCATCAGGTTTAAAAATGAGTTCAGGATTTTAAGGAATCTGTACATTTCAAACTGCTTTATGTCACGAAATCTGGCTAAAAAGTCGAGGCTGCAGCATACTGTATTTGATAAGTTAACTTGGGCTGTTTGTGTTCTCTTCCACAAGTTTCCAATGTCTGCAAAACAGATTGATGTGCTCCTTGTTGAAATAAATAAATCTATTAAAACCATACATAGAAATGTTTAACACTGGTGTATACAGTGTCACTAAAAGCAGTTTGTTGACCTTCTCCTTTCCCTTTGCCTTGAAATAGGATTTATCAAGAATAGACTTGGATTTCCCCGTTGAAATAAGACACTGTTTTAAAGCCCTTAAAGTATGCCATTGTTCATTTCACCCCTGCCCTTTCTGGATGTATTAATCCCATTGCCACGGTCTAATGCTGAAATCCCCAGTGGAAACACCTAAGAGGACTGGATCTGCTCGACCACACATGATATTCCTATTTCCCCTGCAACAAGTGATATCAAAGCTATCACCATGGCGACCGCTGAGCAGCTAAGAGGAAGTACATCTGTATGTCATTTATTTGTGAGTTTTTCAGCGACAGTTTGTTGCCAGCTCTGCTGCAGGTGCTGCGCTCTGGAAGGTGATCAGATATCATCACTCTTTCATTAACTCAGCATTTCTAGTATCACAGTGACTGTGTAGGAAGAAAGGCCCCTTTCATGGGTCATCCCGACTAATGAGGTCTGCTGAAAGGAGCAGGTTAAGGTGGAAGGATAATGAAACAGGAGAGAAGGGGGGAGAAATGTGACAAAAAACATGACACCAGGGATTTGTGAAATTAGGCAATGTTTTTATTTTTGAATTACAGAAATAGAAAACAGAAAAATAGAATTGTTCATCTAAATATTACCTGGATTATTGAAACCACACTGAGTAAAAGCTCTTTTGAGAAATAAAAAAAAATATGAAAAACAAGGACAGGCTAAAAATAGAGTGGAAAAATAAGGAAACATATTATTGCTTTATTTTTAGGTTATGACACAGCAGGCGACAACAACAGCCTCATTTTCACTCGATCATAGCAAAAAAGTAGGAGGAGAGAATGGCTGAAGATTCCGTTACGTAGACCATGAGCCGAGCACACACAGGTTTCTTTGTGAAAGGTGTCTCTGTGTGCAGAAAGAGGTGCCGCACTGACATCATCCAGAGCTGCGGATGGGACTTTTCATGTGTAGCAGTGCCAGGGAGCTGCTGGTACTGTCAGCCATGAGCCTGACTCAGCAGACGCTTCAGACACAAGCGTGCAAGAATCCATGAATGAAGAGAGTCACACAGCTGACACCACTTTCCTGCTCCAACAACCTCAACATCAAGATAGGATTTAAGAAATATCAGCTGGATTTCTTTTGAATGTAATGGATAAAATACACTGAACACTCATTGTTTTAGAAATATATTCATTTTTAGATCACTCAAACAAAAATTATGGAATATGACATTCAAATAAGAACAGATAAAGAATTGCCCTGAAATCAATGGAGTTAGAATCTTTATCCAAACCTTTTTCAAATGTAAAACTCTTACAATAAAGTTTTTATTAATGAGGTACAGTGCAGTATAATACACTACTTTACTTTAATGCACAAATATGGGGCGTCCATGTGGTTCAGTGGTAGAGTCGGTCGTCTCTCAACCAGGGGGTTCGATCCCCAGCTCCTGCAGCAACACGTCCGATGTGTCCCGTTGCTTCTGCAGCGCTGTATAAATGGGATCAGTTAATAGTGATGGTCACTTTACATAGAAACCTGCCATCAGTGTGTGAATGTGTAGGTGTGACATGCGGTGTAAAAGCGCTTTGAGTAGTCAAAAGACAAAAAAAGTGCCAAACAAGCTCAAGTCCATTCACCAATTACAAAAGTAAATAATCGTAGGATAATGATTAAGTAATGATGGTCTACTTATTCAATATTATTTATCACCTGCGGGGGGATAAATTCAGTAAAAGCTCCCTTTCGAATCGTTTAGTGGTGTTGATGTTGGCGCCCCCTGTGGACAAAGTAGTTAGTATTTGCTGATTTTGTCCTGTACATGTGTAAGAAGTTGTAAGATGTTTTGAAACAAAAAAATATCATTCTTCTGTATTTTAACCTTCAAATTTCTCACTAATCAAGAATCTCAGCCGTAGAAGATGTCAATAATAAAAGGCTCTTACTGTAGTGTGCTAAAACTCACTTTCTCTGAGACCTAGCCCTCTGCAGTGGATTCAGGCAATCACTAGATTTAAATAATAATGAAGTTGCTGATTTCTGGTGGTCTTATTTGCTTTATTAAATAATATAGATGCATCAGCATTCATTTCAGTCTGTTTCATTACCAGTGTGAAACTCCTCATGAAGGGCTTTTAGTAAGAAGTCATGAATGAAAGGTTACTACTTCTGATTCACCGGCTGGTGCAGATGAAGGACTTCTTCTAAACAAGACTGATTCACAGATTGTCATGAACTTGTCAATATCTAATGATTTATAAATATGATTTATAAAAATCAAATAAGCAAAGTTGCTTGATGCTTATCAAAGTTTTCACATGCAGCAGAAAGATTGTGTCATTTTGTCTTCCTAAAAATTACTCCACCTGTCAAACTGTTCAAGTAATTTATACTTGATTCACATCACAAACACCAGTAGCAGCTCAATATAAGTGTATACTATTCTTCACTGTTTTAACTCGTCACCTGTTCTCCATTAAGAGGACCCCTGTGAGGATGCGAGCCCACTATTAGTGCCTGCAAAGACCCGGCTAATGTCATAACATTTTGTCAGCACTTTCAGAATGAGCCATTGTCATGCGCACATAATTACAGGTCAGGCTCTGTAATTGCAAATGCAGGAGAGTGACCTGCTGAGCCCACACTCTGCTTTTATAGCATTTCATTGTCAACTGAAACGACTGTGAGGTCACTTCACCTGAAGGCATGGAGGTGTAACCCTCGAGTCACTCAGCAGAGTTCAATATTGGATGTGCTTTTCAGGTGTGCTTGTCAGAGAGGTTGGAAGGTGAATTATGCACGTATTCAGCTTCTCAGGGTTCTAACAAAGGAAAATGTAGTTTCACAAAAAAGTTTGCAGCCATTTGCAGACTGACAGCTAATTATGTGAGCTTGATTTTGTCCCATGTGTGCAAGAGAAAACATTAAAAAAGACTTTTTCAGTTGTTTGAGTTTGAAATGGAGTGGCAGGATCAGACATCTCATTTCTCTTGTGATGTCCAATTCCTTAAAACATTAGGTAAAGAGGAATGAAAAAAATAATGCTAAATAATCAAATTTAGCTTCATTTTGGATTACCCTTTATAATACCATTTGAAAAAATGGCTCGATGGTGGCACACATCCAACAAATATAATGATTATCAAGAACTATTGGTCCCCCTGCTTTCCCAGGTCACTGTGCATTTCCTTCCCCACAGATAGACTATCAATGAGCACCCAAGCTGTTTCACTTTACTAAAAGCCAGGAGCAGATAAGGCTGAGATTGCAGAGTCGCTATCACTAGAGGAGGCCGGTGAAAGGGGAAGACATACAAGAAAGTGTGCGGCAGCAATTACCACACACTGCTGTTCACATGGGTGAAGGCCAGAACACATTTGTATCCGTGAAGTTCGATTGCATTTCTTCACTTTCAGTTTGTGCAAGCAGAGTACAATTATGAAAAAATACAGCATTTTTTTCATCGCATTGTGTTCAGATGTAGTGAGGCAAGTTTGATAAAAGCAATGTGAAATGTATGTTTTTTTTTTTTTGCAAGAAAGCTAGGCCCACATTTCCAAGTGTCTGCCTGCTTTTACCCCTCAGTCTGACTGGTGAAGCCACTGGAAGCTGCTGCGGGATATCAGGGAGGTGTGAGAGAGTCAGAGGAGGGAATATAAACCCGTCCTTCTGAGGGTGTCAAGGCCTTGATAAGTCCTGTTTAAACTTTACCCCTTGCGAAAAAAGCAATGTGTCAACAGTCGCCCGTGGCCAAAGCGCTCTGATCTGGTTGGGTAAATACCTGAAGCCCATCCATTTCCATGAGTCCCCGGCTCACAGTTGCCAGGGGGATCAACCTGAAATCTTCAGGAATTAACAAACGGCTATTTTTCGACTGTAAGGAAGCAACAGTGGAAGCAGCTGGGATGAGAGTTCAGATGGTCCGCCGACGGAATTTTCTCAGTTCTGGATGTTGCAGTCCTCTGCCATGTCTGGGGCAGTTGGCAGTAGTAGCGGAAAGTCTCAGACAGGTGTTATGTCGGTTGCGAGTGGTTGAAGCCACCTCTGCCTCCAATACCTCTGCTGCATTGTTTGTCACTCAGAGAAATCTCTCAACTCTTTGAGGGTCTCAATATAGACGAGGTTTAATTTTGCAGTATAAGTAACGATTTTATAATAAAAGACACAAGTTAAATGATACTTATTATGGTTCCTGATATGATAAAATGAGTGTTTTAATTTGTTATGCACTTAGTTCAAATTCTTAGATTTTATGCAAATTGCATAAAACCCTGACTTTAGTGGGAAAAACAGAAAAGAAAAAAAACACTACACATGCTGTATTCCTTTCTAGATTTGTAAATACAAACCTCAAAGGCAACAAAACAAAGACTCAATAATGCTGTTGAGATACACACAGGACACGTAAAGATTATAAAAAAAACAAACAGGGGCGGCCTGCTCAAACATTTGCAGTGGAATCTGAGCGAGCGAGAAGAGGTGGAAGACATGATTTGTCAGTTTACCCCCAGTGTTTGCCTCAAAATTTTGACGCCATGGCTCGAAGTCAAGCTGAGAAGTTTCCCAAGACCTGCTTGGCCTGCAGGCGGGCGCTCCATGTTAGCAGTAAGGCTGGCCTCCCTCCTCTAATGATCTGTGCACCCCCCACTCTGATCTGCAGTAAGACAGCTTGCAGGGCACCTCAGTACTGTGGGGGCGCGAAGATGTCCGACCACAATCTCTGATGCCTCCGTGTTAGCCATCAGTGGGTTTCCTCCTCTGCATGTCGAGACCAGACGCCTTTACAAGCTCAGCAGTCCCAAATGGCAGCAGACCTTCAACAAAACCAAGTCCAGTGAAAAAAAGAAAGAAATGTCCTCAGACTTTTCTAAGGGATGTGGCATGTTTGTTAATAAGAGATGAAGTGTTATTCAAGCTAATATTACATCTCTTAGACATCTGAGACGTTAACTTTAATAAGGGAAATGGATGAAGGGTTTCAGTTCAATAACATAATATCTTATAAAAGTAATATCATTATACTCATACCTTAGAATGAAACAAATACAACTTACAATCCTTTAGTTTTCCATTCACCTCTCCCTTTTCATCAACATGAATAGTTGTGAAAACAGTCCTTTTTTAAATTGTACTTAATATAGTTAGGGATGCTGACAGTGCAGTCTGTCACAGCCAACAGGAGCAGAAATAGCAGGTCGATCTGACAGCCATATTAGGCTGTTTTAATGAAAATGTCAGACTGAACAAGAAACCCTGAGCCACTTCCTTCTTTTTCAGAGAAAGATGATATTCATAACTGGTGTTTATTTTTAGCAATGAGAGGCACTGCCACTGACAAAAACAATTACTAAACCATAGCATTGTTATATAATGGAAATTGTGCAAACGACATACATTTTTAAAACCCAAAAAGCATGCATATTGATCAGGAGGCTTGGCTTTAGATGTTTGCAGCCTCTTCTCGTTATGGTTATCTAAGTCGTCACCATAAAATCTCCTAAGATGTTTTAAAATCGTTACTATGACTGATTTGTATGATTATAGATTTTACCTGATGTCAGAGAAAAACCAGTGTGATAATTATTTTATTGAAGTTATCAAGTTCATTTAACTGCGTCATCAAGTCATGATAAAAATAGTTCATTCTTTCACAACTCTATGTGGACTCATACCTTTCAGTCGGATTTTGTATCTAAATTTAAACACAGATTATAGTGGCTGAACTTTCTCAACAAAGTGTCCTTTGTCCACAGAAAACAAGTGTTGGAGCAAATCCAGAAAAGTAGATTTAAGTGTTGCGACACGTTTGTGTGGTTGAGGTATTTTTTAGACTTACAATTTCAAATGAAATGACTGAAAATCACTCCAACTTTGATACTATATCTCTTTAAATGAATTGATTCAATCATCAGATATTATTATTATTATTATTATTTATTATTAATAATATTATTGTAGATTAATAATTCAATTTGAAAGCAGTTTACAATCCTACTCACCACTGGCGGATCAGCAGTTTTTACGTCATCAGTCAACAACGTAAATGAAAATAATGATGTCTAAAACGAACGAACACCCTTTAAGTACAGACATAAAGCATGGCCATGTCTCTGGTTAATGTTTTTTTTTTTTAAAAGAAGATCAAAATATTATAATATTAAGTGTTGTTATTTATTTATGTATTTTTTTCAGTTTGTAAATCAGAACGTCAATAAAGAATTAAAAGCAGATCGGGAAACTGAATTTAGAAATATGTTTTTTTTTTTTTTATTCCTCTCTTACTTTGTTTTAATCATTGCAGCCTCTGCACAGTAACAAGGCTTCCTCACAAGTTTCTGGACTGCTGTCTCCCCCTATTGGTCCATATTGTCCCTGTGCTCAGAGCGCGCGCTGCTGCTGCTGCTCCTCCGTAGCAGCTCAACACACACACACACACACACACTCAGCGAGTCTCTGTATGCCACAGACATCTTAGATTAAAATTGCTCGTATTTAGTCAGATCATTATCTACCAAAAACAGTGATGTTAAAGATATTTGTATAACCTTAAGTGGTTTTATAACAAGAACTGCTCCTTTTTTATCATCTGAAGATTGCATCCAATAAAGATGTCATGCGTAAAAAGCTCTGACTTTTCCCCGCAGAAAACTTGTTCACGTAGATAAATTAAGTTGGGAGACAAAGTGAAGAATTAAAGAAAGAATTGAAGAATAAAATCTATTCACCTGCATGGGTAAGGTTGTGCAAATATGCAAAAGAGTATGTTCCGAAAAGGCACAAAATAAGTAATAAAGTAACATTTATAACCGAGTAAAGCTCTTATAAATTAAATGTGTTGATAAATGTCAAATGATCAACATATTGAACGGAATACTTGTCATAAAATAAAGTTCATATAGGATGATATGCTTTTTTAATGTCATTTCAGTTTCAGAATGGATTACGTTATTTTACTTTTGAATTCAGCAGAAGTTACAATGTTGAACTTTAAAGTATTAACTCAAAGTATACTTTAACACATATGAAACCAAAATTAAAGGGGAAAAACACCTTTTTCCTACGTGAACTGGGTTGTTGACTGCTAGGCTTCTTTAGAGCCGAATCGGATTACGTCTCCGCCTCCAAAAAGTTTCCCCCAATCATTTCCTTGCCGTCAAACATAAATCCAGGCATCGCCTCCTGAGCCTGTAGACTCTCCAGCAATCCTCATAGAGTATATCTCGCAGTGTCATTTCTCTCTAAAGTCACACTTTTAAAGTGGAGCATTAGAAAGCCAACATTTGCATTCGACTATTTTCTGCGTCAATTGCTAAAGTCGGAGGAGCGTCAAATCTTTTATTTTTGACATTTTTTTTACTTTCAAGGATTCCAGTTTTTCGCGCTGTGCGCCCTCACAGACTGTCACTGCAGTCTTTGGGCACCGCACTTGGATTTAGAAAGAAGGATATCCTCCCATTTTTACGGCGCCTGAGCTGTTCTTTAATTCTTTCGCATGAATCTCCTCGACCCTTACCTGAAGATGACCGAAGAACAGGAGAATCGTCACTCTGACGCTCCCAGCCCAAGTATGTCTGAGGACTCTGCGGGCTCGCCGTGCCCGTCCGGGTCCGGTTCGGACACTGAGAACACCCGGCCGTCCGACAACCACCTCCTCTTGGGTGCAGACTACAAAAAGGAGGGCGAAGAAGAGAAGTTCCCCGTGTGTATCAGAGATGCTGTGTCCCAGGTGCTGAAGGGCTACGACTGGACGCTGGTGCCCATGCCGGTGCGCGTCAACGGCTCCAGCAAAAGTAAACCTCACGTCAAAAGACCCATGAACGCATTCATGGTCTGGGCTCAGGCTGCACGGAGGAAGCTGGCCGATCAATACCCGCATCTGCACAACGCGGAACTCAGCAAAACCCTGGGAAAACTCTGGAGGTAAGTTCCCTTTGCATTTTGTGTCTCGTGTGCAGTGCGTCTTTACGCGCCGTTGTGCTCAGCGCTTTATTTCTCGATATAATTCAGTAACGACCTGCTGTTCCAGCTAGAGATGTGGAGTTTGTGAATTTGTATCCGACATTTAAAATGTATTCTTACCTGTTATTGTTTTGATTACTTTTATTTTCGTGTGCCTGAACAGATGGATTTCTAGAGAGTTAAATACACAAACTTTTTTTCAGCTGCTGCTTTAGATGAATACTTCCTGATAAACGCAATGTGCACATGTGCAATGTGTAATCAGCATAGTGCACATCTGTTGCATCCATTATTAAAGGAATCTTGTGCTTGTTGTTTACTGGATGCATTTTAATGTGAATGTGCATTTCCCTTTGCTTTTTTTCAGATTGCTCAACGAGGTAGAGAAGCGTCCGTTCGTTGAAGAAGCCGAGCGTTTGAGGGTGCAACATAAGAAGGACCACCCCGACTACAAATATCAGCCGAGGCGGAGAAAGTCTGTCAAGAACGGGCAAAACGACCCAGAAGACGGAGAGCAGACTCACATCTCTCCAAATGCGATCTTCAAGGCGCTGCAGCAGGCCGATTCTCCTGCGTCAAGTATGGGCGAGGTGCATTCTCCAGGCGAGCACTCAGGTAAGAACAGACAAAAAGAAAATAAATTGTTAACGGAGAGTGAGGGGAAAAAAGACATTCTCTGGATTTTTTTTGTTAATAGACAACTCAATAATTTGACACTGCTAGAGGAAGTTGTATCTGTAGAAGCCTTGGGGGCCTTGAACAGACACCTGTTAATGATTAATAATTAACCATTAGCGGTTTTTACAAGCATTCATGCAGATACACCTCTCATTGTAGCTAAAAAACATCTTTTTGTGTATTTACCTTTATGACAAGGCTTTTATGGATGAGGTTCTTTTGCTTGCACGAATTAGTAAATCAGATTTAAGGCCTAACTCTACTTTTCCCTTTATCCAGGTCAATCCCAGGGCCCACCAACACCCCCAACAACCCCCAAGACAGACCTCCCCTCCAGCAAAGCTGACCTAAAGCGTGAGGGCCGTCCCATGCAGGAGGGCACCAGCCGCCAGCTCAACATTGACTTTGGAGCCGTGGACATCGGCGAGCTCAGCAGCGAGGTCATCTCCAACATGGGGAGTTTTGACGTCGATGAATTCGATCAGTACCTGCCGCCTCACAGCCATGCTGGAGTGGCAGGAGCAGTCCAGGCCGGCTACACGGGCAGCTACGGCATCAGCAGCTCCTCAGTCAGCCAGGCAGCCAATGTGGGAGCCCACGCCTGGATGTCCAAGCAGCAGCAGCAGCAGCAGCAGCACTCTCTGACCACCTTGGGCGGGGGAGAGCAAAGCCAGCAACAGAGAACCACCCAGATCAAGACGGAGCAGCTGAGCCCGAGCCACTACAGCGAGCAGCAGGGCTCCCCGCAGCACGCAAACTACGGGTCCTTCAACCTGCAGCACTACAGCACCTCCTCTTACCCCTCCATCACAAGAGCACAGTATGACTATTCAGACCACCAAGGTGGTGCTAACTCCTACTACAGCCATGCAGCAGGCCAAGGCTCTGGTCTGTACTCCACCTTCAGCTACATGAGCCCCAGCCAGAGGCCCATGTACACTCCAATCGCTGACACCACAGGGGTGCCCTCTGTGCCCCAGACCCACAGTCCGCAGCACTGGGAGCAGCAGCCCATTTACACACAGCTCTCCAGGCCCTGAGGAGGCCTCCATCAGCACTGACTGAACTCCACCCATCATAGACTTTTTTCTGTCACCTTCGTGCCACAAACCCGTCATTGCCAACAGAAAAACATGACAAGGACATTTTTTATAGTACTGAAAATATATCTTTGGATTGGCTCACGACAGTGCCTTTTGTATTTGTTGGAATTGTGATTATATTTTTTTAGATATAATGTTTTAAAAAAAGTGAAATCCTCTGTGAGGACATACTGGTTATGAATATTTTAGTATGTACTGTGTATGTGTTCTACTCTTGTCATCATCATCATCATCATCCTCTTAATCAGTGTCATCAGCATCTTCATCATGATTTTTAGATTAACACGTTTTTAAGGAGCAGGAAAGCCGGGTACAAATACCCTCAGTGGCCTTACTTCTCACTGATGTATTTCTTGTACAGAAGTAAGAAACGTCTGTTTACTGACACTGCCGTCTTAGGATAGCCCACATTCTGCTTTGAGTTTTTGTACTGTACATATCTTACTGTAATTCCCATGAGATGCAAGAATTGAGCACTGCAGGTTGGAAATAGATTTGAATTTTTGGCCATGATATGACCATGTCATCAGTGAATTTGTCAAATATTCTTCTCCTTCTTCTTCTTCGCTTTAGCTCAAATGATTATTGGAAGTGCAGGTGGCATGTAATTGAACGATGCTTGCTTTTACTGCCTTGATACCGTTGGTGCCTCTGGAGCCACAGTGAGGAGGCTCAAGTCCTCTGGCATTGCAGTGTCTAAACCATAGCCTAGTTCTGGCTTCCTGCGTAAGGAGATGCAGGAAGTGACCTTGACCTCTCTCTCCTCAGCAGCCAGCAGGTCTGAGGCTGGTATGCTTCTATATCATGCCTTACAAACCCCACCTTTTATTTTCCTAACCTTTTTTTTTTCTCTTAATTTATTCCTTAGCATTAATTTTATTTGAGAATAACTATTTGCAATTATCATTTTAATTCAGCAGCAGCTACCTGAGACGTTTTCAGTGGATAGTTTGCGGCAATATGTGGTACAAATTTGTTTATTTATCATTTGTAAATGTTTCCGTATAAAAGGTTCCTTTATTCATGATCTAGTTATGTACAGATTACTTATAATTACACGATGAGTCTTTCTCTTAAAAAAAAGAAAAACTGGATGTTTTTTTTTCTTTTTTGTTCTAACAAATGAATTAATTGTTATGGAAGCTGTGCCTGTTTTTTTTTTTGTTGTAAAGAATTTGCTGGAATCAACAGGATACTTTTTGTTATTAAAAGATGTGTTCCTTGTTTTATATTCTGTATCATTAGTTCTCAGTTCGTCATCTCCTTAATGCAGTTTCCGTAGGTAAACATGGCATTGTCTTAAAAGCATATCTTTTGTATTATATTGTTTGCAATAAAAACAAAACAATGAGAAATATTCAATCTTCTCGTGCTATTCATTACATTTCATGAAGTTTTACCTGTGTTTTTTTTCCAGCTGTGGATGCTTTCCCAGTAAGTTAAACAGTTTATGTCAGACAAAGATCACTGAGGTTTACTTTGAAAAGGTGTAGGAAGTTTATAACCTCTACTGATTGATAAAACCATACTCGATACATTTAGTTTAAAATTACTGAATCTGAGTTGCTTTAGTGTTTTGCTACACATTTGTAGAAACAAAAAGGAAAACAAGTTTTAACATGATGCAGATCATTTGATTTCTCTTTAATCAGAATGTGCTGTTGGCTACGCACAGACACAGTTGGCTATAATATGTTTTAAGACAAACACAAGTTAAAAAAAGAAGAAAGAAAGTGGTTTTGAAGTTTTGGTGATAGGTCCGGTGGGTTTTGCTTCCGGCTTCTCAGACCATGAGGTCACAGGTCCATTATTTCCTCGGCCTATTGAGAAGACGTATGTCCTCCACACCCCTTCCCTTAGCCTTGTATACAGCACAGCTTAAAGAAACAAACTACATGTTGAATATTGTTTATTCATTACAGGCCAAGTAATACAGGAACAGGACTGACCTTAATAAATCAGTGACAGTGTAAACACAATCAGGTACTATAGCTTTGTGTTGAAATTCGAGGCACATTCGCAGATGACGTCTCTTTCCTCACATCGACTCGACTGAGACGTTAGCAGCCTCCCCACTGCTGCACCTCAACACACTGTGATGACCGGATAGCCCCCCCCCACCTCGACTCTATAACTCTATACATTATATAATATAGAAGTATGATTACCTTTAAATCAGTAGCAAATATATATATATATATATATATAAAATGTAACTATATTAGTTAAGAGTTATAATCACAAGCTTTTTCTTAAAATCATCTTGATTTTAGTGATGAAGTGTCACCATGTTGTGATTCATCTCTTTAGAATCCCCTGGGAAGAAAAAAAGACTTTATTTTCCCCTCACATACTTCAGAACTTGTTCACAGTAAAAAAAAAAAAAAAAATTATAAGAAAAGAAAGAAACAAGAAGATTAAAAGACTGGCAACATTGATTCCTTGCCTTGAAACATTCTTTATGTATGTATTAGCTTGAGATGGCTAATTAGCACCTACAATGGGTGCGGTTTTACAAATAAACAAAGCAAAATAACGTGTAGGTTTAGGTAAACACATGATTTAAACTTAATAGATAAATAACGCTGTTAGAAACTGCTTTTGGGAACAACTGTATAAATATAACATTCAAATCTGAAGACTCCAGTTTGTGGTTTACTCGCATGCTTCAGGGTTTGTTGAAAGTGGAACTAAATCTGGGAATGTGGGCACAGCTGAAAGAGAAGTTACACTATTTCAACACAGTATACCTCATGGAATTCACTCACAAACTTAAGACCCAGGTGCATTTACAATAGTTGTTCAAAATTGGGATTCACAGTTTGACTTCACTGTCTTGGCAGAATTGCTGATACAGTGCAGTCAAATCAATGACATTTTCTTCTCTGTTTATCAGCATTTTGCAGTCTAAGCTTGTTTATTATGCTTCTACTTTTCTTGTCAGACCTGTTTGTTATCTCTGCCCCAGATTCTTCTTCTGCTGGTGCTTATTATAATGCTACTCTGGTAACTAGCTGAAAATGAAACCAATACTGTGTTATATAAACTGCCATAAGAAAATAGAAAAAATTAACATATCAATATGCAATGATTTAAGGCTTGTTGTGTTGATGACAAGATAATGATCGTCCTGCAGGCTTGACTCTTTTGTCTCTGGTTAAATTTAAAGGCTGCTATCTTCCCCTCTGACGTCGAGGACCAGGCAGAGTGTGAGAATCCCCGAAGCTGCCCCCCACAGAGAACCCCAGGGCCACATCCATCAATGGATCTCCAGCGGCTTAGACCTGGAGGGAGGCAGCGGGGCCTTAGAGCCTGACAGGGTAAAGAGAGGCCAGTTAGAGAGGACTGCGCAGATGATGGTCCGCGGAGATCACAAGGAAAGGTCAGAAAAAAAAAAAATTAATGACATGCCTTGAATATTAATGTGCCACTTTTGGAAATGTCTGCAATAAGACACATTCTCCAAATCTGGTACAATACTGACTGTATTTTTAAATAATAGCCTACAATGTAATGTATCTTTGGTTTGAAAAGAATCATTAAACAAAGACTTCTCAAAATTATCTGCAGCAAAAAAATAATTAATTTGCTTTACCGACTCATATGAAACGATCACCTATGGGGGGGGGGGGTCACCCCAATCTACAGCACTATTTTTGGTCAGCCCTATTACGAAACTTGGTGTCATGATCGTTGGGGTGAAGGACTCACTTTAGGTTCAGATGGAAGCCAAACTGCTTCAGCCCATGTCTCTGAGTTCTCTCGCATTCATAACATGCTTTAATAAGATATTCTTCATATATATATATATATATATATAGAGAGAGAGAGAGAGAGAGAGAGAGAGAGAGAGAGAGAGAGAGAGAGAGAGCAGAGAGGGACCAGTGTTTCACTGTCTTAAACACTCTTTTGGCCTGGAGGGGCTGTGCTTAGACATTTGGTATGGCCACTGATATTTCCATCCATTCCCTTATTCATCTCATCCAGATCTGAGGAAGTATCTTCCAGTAATCAATATAAGAAAGTGGATAAACCTGGGTATTATTAATTTATTGAAATAAGTTCAAGATTTCAGTTCAAGAAATTAAATGAGCAAATTTTTCTTGCTGCGTTGGAAGCAGTCATTGCTTATTACATGCAATTCAGGCCTTATCATTTCCATGTAATTTCTTAAAATGAGATGATTATCTGGACTTGAATGTGGCTTATATTATGTGTAATGAGACATTTATGACTAGGAATAGGACAAGTTTACATGCTATGAGTGTCTGCAGTGTAAGAGAGCATTCATCACTTACATTCACATAATAGTTGTTAAGTGAAGTTGTAAAGCCAAGTAGTCGTAAAAAAAAAAAATTGGCATAGATTTCACAGGGTACGTTCACACTGTCTGAGCTGGCTCCATCACAGCTCTCCTGATTGGCTCCTGATGGAAGATATTGCCTGAAAGGTGAAATTGGGCCAACATCTCCGTTCAAGAAATACAGAAAAAAAGTCCACTTTGGTAAACACAGATCTGTGTCCCACCAGTTTTCAGAGAATGAACAGATCATTTCTGTTGAATTGTTTCATACTCAGCTTGTTGGCAGCGTGTGTGTGCATCTGAGGAGTTTACATTTGCAAGTCCAGCTCCTCAAAAAGCAATCATGGGTTCAGATAAAGTGAAATCAGGTGTTCAAATTATCAGTTTAAGGAAAGTATTATTCCTTAAAAATTATAGCTGATCAGTGATTAAAAAAATACTTTAGCTAATGGTTACTTTTACTTGAAAAACCTCTTTTAAACCAATTTGCATGACGTTATGATCCAAGACTCCTCTAGAGCCAAACCAAGCATCAAGCAACCCTGTATGCTAAGTCTGAGGCGAGACAGAGTTCCTCTTTTTGCTTAAACTTTTAAACAATGATGACTTGTGGATAAGAAAAAGGTTAGATATAAGGATCATTTTGTTGTTTTTTAAAACAATTTGCTGGAACAAAGCGTGCTAATATGCCTTTAGCAGTAAGCATGCAGCATTGATGACAATTTTCAGCATATTTCATCAGAATAGTTTGTCATGTGTTGGTCACAGAGGAGCACCCCTTCAGGAAATGACTTAAGGATTGAGGCTTTCTCGGTGTCAGACCACAGTGACTCAGTGGAGGGGTTGACACAGACAGTCTTGCCCAGTAGCAGCCCAAACACACTGATGGATGTTATGTGTTTCCTCCAGCAACCGTGCAAGAGAAAGAGCAACATCTGATATTAAGGCGTGAGAGAAAAACGTGCTATCAAACATAAATCTGTATTTCAAAAAGTCATCACAAGGCAAATTAAAAGCATCTTTCCCAAATCACGTGCCCCAGCCTCCTGACCTCAGCTCAGAGAAGCCTTGGCAGCAGCGGAGCGACCCAGCCAGTGAGTGGATTGGTGCAGCGATGGTACACAGCTCCCCTCCAAACAGCAGGAGTGCACTGATGAATGTTTCCGAGGAAAGGAATCGGAAACAAGACCAAATTTTTCTTTCTTTTTTTTTTTTTTTCCCAGACGGGCCTTTACATGGGCAATTTTCCCAGGACGACCCCATTATTATTCCACAGAGACGTCTGCCCCCTCGAACCCTATGGGTGGTCTCTGTAAAGGCGAAAGGAAGAGGAACAGAAAGAGAAAAGGAGAGAAAAAAATGTGGTAATACACAGAGAGACTGGACAATAATAAAAACACGACAAAGTAAAATGAAACAAAACGAGATGACGATCGAAAAGCAATCCAATACATTTTAACTGTCTGCTCCGATCGACTGTTTGGCATATGAGTGTATAGTTTTGCCTGACAGTATATTGGGGGAGTATTGACTCTAAAATGACCTTATCAAGGAAAAATAAAGATAAAAGTTGTAATTCTTGAAATTACTTATGTCCTGTATATTGTATTGTTTGGTATCTATTTGTTTGTATTCCTCTCTTGTGTTTACCCTCAGGTACAGTTTATTAGGTACCGTTGTTTTAAGAAATATTGTCTGACCAATTTAACAGCAACTGTGAGGGTCACTTCAAACGGTTGTGACCTGTTAAATTGTCCAGACAATATTTCTTAAAACAATTAACAAACATCCAGTGGAGGAAACATCTACTAAATCACTAAGAAAGACAAGCTGCTCCATGGAAAATAGGAAGGCACATTTCTTCGTTTTTTAAAGTATTGATTATTTTGAACTTTAAATCAGAATAGTGACTTGAAAACAGTTAAATCACTCGAAGGGAATGGTCCTTATTTAAGTTTACGATCCCCTCTCCTCACAGTGTGATTCTGCTCCCTGATGGAGCAGACTTAGGAAGTGAGACTTTGCCCCGCAGCCATCCATCTTGCACCGCCCGGCC